CTTTCAGAGGCTTGTTTGACTGTACAGCGCGTTGTTAACAGTAGGGCGAAGCGTGCTGTGTTGCTTGGACAGACGCAGCCGCACAAACATATATATCTCCTCTCAGTGTTTGGCTTTTTGTGCTGTCGCAGTGAATGTTAGCTGAATTCGTCTTTGTAAGGAGGAGCGATTACTGCTCGCTGTTAGTCACTCTAGGCCGTTTAAATATGCTGCTAGTAGTGTCAACCCCAACCGTAGCCAGCAACAGCAGCACAAGACTGCAACAAGGAGCAGAATAGAGCGGCAGCGAATAACAGCAAGTACCAGCAGCGACCAGCAGCAGCAAGCAGCAGGAAGAAGCAGCAGCTGATGAATTCACTAGCTGAACTGCTTGGCGACAGTATGGAGACCAGAGGTTCACTCAGAGCATCCAGCAGAAGATTAAAACTGATTGATTCGAAACATATAATTACTGGACTGCAACAAGAAATTAAACTACGAATTTGGCTTAGCAAGTTGTGTCTCGAGTGTATGTCCAGTTCAACTCACTTGAAACGCTCCACTTGTTCAGCTCCCATTGGATTGCGTTTCAGTTTCCCGGCATAAACATTCTTATTATTGTCGTATTTCTGCTGCACAAAGAGAAAATATAAGCAGATAAACAGATGCTGCAGCAACCGTGTGTGAGGCTGGAGCCGTCCTCAAGGTGGGTGTGTTATATGGCGAGCCGCCCCCGTTGGTCTGATGGTCTCCGTACAAATAAATAATTAAAACAAATAGTAAACAGCAAACCAAGCAACAAAACAATATAACAAAGCTCAGTACAACTAAAGCTGGTAATAGAACAAACCGATTAAAGCTTGTTGTAATGAAAACAGACATGAATATATACCAAAGTTTATCACTATTGAAATAAACAATAAAAGGAATAACGAAGCAAACAAATAAAAGTTTATTGAAACATTTAATCATTGGCCTTGTCCTAGCAATTAACAGGAGCAGGCCGATGAGCAGCTGGGGGCCTCGTTAAACCCCTCAGTCGGCTGCGCTGCTCTTTACGTGTTCTGCGCACTACAACTTCAAGTTTTATTTCTCTTAGAGTTTATATAATTAAATAATTTATTTTATTTTTACTGTCTTTACCTGCTGTAGTCAGACTGGCGCGAGACACTGCCGCAGCGGCAGTACCAGCAACGCGGCCCCACACTTATCTCTGCAATGTCTCGGCGTTCAGAAATATAATTTTGTTCCCTCTTTGTCTCCGCCGACTTCGCCTTCAACTCCTCTAAGCCTGTTAGGTGCTGCATTTTGACGGCTGCTGCAGCGCTTGCTGCAGCAGCAGCTGGCATTGTTCCTAGCCGCTCCTGTTGTTTGTTCTCGTGGCAGCAGCAGCAACAGCAACCGCAAACACAGCAGCAGCAGCAGGAGCAGGAGCTGCTGTAGTAGCAGCAGCATGTGACTGGAGCGCTGGCAGCATGCATCTGTTGTCGCTCTCTGTCCTGTTTGTGCTACAAAGTCGCCGAACTTCCAGCTGAGGCCTGCGGGGCCTCAGCTGTCTGTACACTGCAAATATATTCAGCGTGTTGCTGCCTCGAACAGCAGTCATGGAGGCAGTGTGGGGCCCCACGCCCATCGCCTCCTCCAGGCATCGCCCCCCACTGCTCCGCCGCTACTGGAAGCCTTGCAGGCTCCTCCCTGTAGGCAGCAGCAGCAGCAGCAACAGGGCATCGGCTGTATGCACAGCTACACTGACGACTTCCAAAGGAGCACCGACAGGAAGGGTCGAAGCCAATGCAGAGTCGCATAACGCACGACGCGCTCGTACAACAGTGCTTCCGCTGCTACTGCTGCTGCTGCTGCAGTTGCTGCTGCAGTGCTGCTGCACCGGGGCAGACGCACGCCTAAGCCCCGGTCGGGGGGGGCCCATGCAACCGGCCCCACCGCTGCAGCACCCGCAGCAGCGTAGGTCGTTGGTGCGGCTAGCGCTTTCTGCTCCTTCTCAGCAGCACCTCACTGTACGTCTCGCTGCAGCTCAAGGCAGCAAAGAAGCAACGGCAGCATCTGCAGGAGCAGCAGCAGATAACAGGCCGTGCTATGTCCTCTTCAACGGAGACGCAACACAACTCGACCCCGAGGCCCTCCTNCAGCAGATAACAGGCCGTGCTATGTCCTCTTCAACGGAGACGCAACACAACTCGACCCCGAGGCCCTCCTCTCCCCCCACAAGCCAGCAACAGCAGCTACAGCAGACTCTGCAGCAGCAGCACAATCACCTTTCCGCGTGTTTTCATTCTGGCAGAACACGGGGGCTGCGACGGGGCATTCAACGCAGCAGGATCCCACACCTGGGAGCACTGGGCGCAGCCCGACAGCAGCAGCAGCAGCAGCAGGAGCAGCAGCAGCAGAGGAAGCCCCTCTCGTGCTGCACCTGCCAGCGGTGCCACAGGGGTGGAACTTTCAAACAGATGCGGAGGCCGTAGAAAGGACAGCAGTAGCAGCAGCTGCTGCTGCATGCGGCGATTTGCTGCTGCTGCCTCTTTCCTTAGGGGACTTACAGGGTCCCAGGTCGTTGCTCTTGCAGCAGCAGCCGCTGCCGCTCCTCTTCTCTGCGCTGCAGCTGCAGCTGCTGCTGCGCACACTGCAGCAGCAGGACCCGCCTGCTGCATCTCTGTCGGTCGCAGCAGCAGCAAAAAGGACTAAGCCTCTGGTGCTGCTGCTTACCGACCCGAGTACTACCACTGAGAAAGCAGCAGCAGAGGCAGCTGAAGGAACAGCAGCAGCAGGATCAGATGCAACAGCAGACACACTACGCCTCGCTACAGCGCGTGCAGTTCTGCGCTTGTTAGAGACTGAGTGGAAAGCAGCGGCCGGCGAGATGGGGATGAATGAACCGACGGGACAGCAGCAGCAACAGCAAGAGCAGCAGCAGCAGCAGGAGGGTCCCGCTGGTGATCATATGCCTGCTTTGCGTGATTTGCTTTCAGTGCATGTTGTATTCTTACCGAGGCCGAAGATGGCCCAGGGCCTCTCACCGCAGCCACTGGCTGCGCTCTCTGTACAGGAGAAAGCGTATTTGCAGCAGCAACTCAACTCGTTGCTTTCTTTACACCGTGCGAGAGAAGCGCCGCCCGCAATACAAAAGGGCAACTCGCAGCAGCAGCAGCAGCAAGGAGTTGGTGCTGGTGGAGAGAGAGCAGGAGGCAGCAGCAGCAGCAGCGCATTGCTGCTGTTTGAAGATGCTGCTGCAGCATGTCGGGCAATCCTTGCTGCCCCTGAGGCGTTGATCTCCTCTTCAGGCTCTTCTGTATCTAGAGAAACCCGTGGAGCAGCAGCGGCAACAGCAGGAGCAGCAACACCAGCAGCAACACTTAGTGCTGCTGCGGCGCTGGAATATGACGCTGAGATGTACAGAA